CTGGGTAGACAATGCTTAGGGTTTGCACCTTGCCTTCTTGATAGCCAAGGTCTTCAGGGACAAGCCTGCAGTGAGACTGGTGTTGCCTTCCTGAGTAGCTGGAGCCTTTCGACCCTATATGAGCAGCATCTACAATGTCTCACCTCGCTCACACTAAAGTGGAGTCATCTCTAGAGGTCCTCCTACAGTTTAAGCCCAATCTGAAAGGGCATACACATGGCACACCTAGAACTTCACCAGGTGCTCATTCCTTCCTCAGACAACATATCAGAATGTGAACTAAGGGGCGCCTGGGTGGTTCCGTTGGTTAAGTGTCCGACTCCGGTTCAAGTCATGATCTCACGGCTTGTGGGTTCGAGCCCCGCATTGGGCTCTGTTTGGCAGCTCGACCCTGGAGCCTGCTTCGGATTCTGTGTCTCCCTCTCTCTCTGCCCCTCCCCACTCACATTCTCTCCCCCTCTCTCTCTCAAAATTAAATATTAAAAAAAATTTTTTTAATGTGAACAAAGACAGAAATCCATGGGAAACTTCACTGTTTATATTTTCCCTCCCCTCCCCAATGTTGTAATTTTGAAAGAATTAAAATCTGTGTAGCCCTCACTGAGACTGACCAAGTAACACTGGTGAATAACTGTTATATATCATTACCTAATAATGAAATCATACTTAGCGGATCTGTTTTCTGTGTTTTTGTATTATGTGTGTGTGTGTTTTGCTGAGACTTTGGAAAGCAAGCCCCAAACACATAACCCTTCATTCCCCAAAGCTTCAGCATGCATCTTTCAAGAACAAGGAAAATTCTCCAACAAAGCATAAAACCAATGTTACAACCAAAACTTTTAACATCGATGCAATGACTTTACCTAATACACAGTCCACGTTTAAATCCCCCTTGAGATCCCAATAATGTTCTTTCAGCTGTGTGTTTTTGATCCAGAACCAAATCAAAATCACAAGGTGCATCTTCTGTCTCCTTTATTTTTTTTAATGTTTATTTATTTTTGAGAGAGAGAGAAAGCATGCACAAGTGGGGGAGAGGCAGAGAGAAAGAGGGAGACACAGAATCCGAAGCAGGCTCCAGGCTCCGAGCTGTCAGCACACAGCCCGGCATGGGGCGCAAACCCATGAACTATGAGATCATGACCTGAGCCAAAGTCGGACACTGAACCAATTGAGCCACCCAGGTGCCCCTCTTCTGTCTCCTTTAATCTACAACAGTTTCCCATCTTTCTCTTTCTTCCATGGCAATGACACTTTCAAAGGGCCGAGGACAATCTACACCACTCTCATTCTTTCTCTTGATCAGACCTGAGTTAACAATTTGACGTAAATACGATGCATTTACTTCCTGCTGTGTCACATTTGGAGCTGTGTAAGGCTAGCTTGTCTCTAACACCGGTGATGTTCAAGTCTCTTTCCTCCTTTACAACTAATAAATAATCTGTGGGGTCATAATTTGAGACTGAATATCCTATTTCCCATCACCTTTCACTGGTTGGTTCAGCATCCACTGATGATTCTGAAACAATTACACTGGCACTTGCAAAATGGTGATTTCATAATTTTATCATTCTCCTACTTTTTTTTAAAGTTTATTTATTTATTTTGAGAGAGAGAGAAAGCGTGAGTGGGAGAGGGGCAGAGAGAGAGGGAGACACAGAATCCGAAGCAGGCTCCAGGCTCTGAGCTGTCAGCACAGAGCCCGATGCAGGGCTCGAACCCACCAACCATGAGATCATGACCTGAGCTGAAGTTGGACGCTTAACCAACTGAACCACCCAGATGCCCCTCTCCTACATTTATTAGCTGGCAAGAAGACCCTCTCCCCAGGCTCACCTCTGCCTTTTTTTTTTTTTTTACTATTGATGTGAACTTATGAATGCGTTTTTAAAAACTCCAGTGTTTATTACCATCATTATTATTTTTATTGCTTCAATTGCTCCAAATTTGACCACGGGGAGTTCCTTTAACGCAGCTCCTATATACTTTTGAAATGCCTTCATCATAGTTTGTGCATTTCCTTAACTTCTGCCATGAGATATTGTAGGGTTGTCTTATATTTCTCTCCCCTAGCCTAGAATTAGCTGTTGCTGCAAGGAGTTTGGTTCCTCTTCGTGGCAAACACTATTTGGAAACCAAGATCTGGGCACTAATTATGCTCACTGCTACTGGAATATCATTGCTTCGAGGCTCTTTCACTGATTAAAAGCAGGATATTTATTACTTTTCAATCATGAGTCCACAATGATACTTATAATTCCAATCTAACACCACAGAGTTTGTTCTTACTTCCCCCATTTGGTATTTGCATCATGCTGGTTACTAAGTACACCAATATATTTATTTACTCATTCTCTTCTACTAGGCACACAAAGTAGGTTCAGAATTACTCTACAAATACCACTAGTGCCCAATGACAAACCTACTTAGAGTCTGAGATAAGTCTGCAGCTTATCATTTTGGGAATATGTGCAACTAAAGGTATACAAAGAAATCTATTCAAAAGTTACTTGAATTTTTTTTTACTTAATAAACTCTGTATTTTTAATTAACAGATTTGTTTGTTATTTAGAAGCTTATCCCTCAATATAACAGAACCTACGAAGATCTCAATATTAAAGAAAATGATTACATCAAAATGAGTTATGCCACAAACTTAAAAATTCAAATAATTCTAAAAAGTTTTATTTAAAAAAGGGCAATTTCTGCCTCCCCCTTCTGACTACTCCATCATTAGTTCTCACAATTTATTTTTAGTCTCCACCATTTAAAATAATGTGCTTAGACTATAATCTCTAAATTCTATCAGTTTTAGATATTACATAGTCATTTCTTCCTTCATTGTAGGATTTAGCTCTCTTACATTTCACTTCTTCTCTTTCCCATCTTCTGTATACTTATATCATATATTTAGGTTATTTTAACAGCAAATGTCTAAATTATTATGGCTATGTACACATTCACTCTTAAGTAATACATTATAACTATGTTTCCTTTTTTTGGTATTACTTTTCATTTTCCTGTAGTTAATAATTGCCTTTCTTTTTCAATTGCTTCGATTCCCTGCTACCAAATCGCATACTCTCCAGCAGCCTCTCAGTGCATTTTTCTTCTTCTTCTTTTTTTAAATTTTATTCATTTATTTTGAGAGAGAGAGAGAGCATGTGCATGAGCAGGGAGGGGCAAAGAGAGAGGGAAAGAGAGAGAATCCCAAGTAGGTTCCATGCTATCAGCACAGAAACCAACACTGGGTTCAATCTCATGAACCATGACATCATGACCCGAGCTGAGGTCAAAAGTTGGACGCTTAACTGACTGAGCCACCCAGGCACCCCTAAGGGCACTTTTTTCATCTAGGAAAACATATCATTCTATTTTCCCCCTGACTTCTAGATCTGTTCTTGAATGGTGAGTCTCTTGGTCTGTTGCACAGACCTGGGTCTTCCCACTGCTATCATCCAGGGAATTCTCCTTACTTTTCTCCTTCACTTCTGGCATCAGATATCTCTTTTTTAGAGTTAACTTTCTCATTAGGGAAAGTACATCTGCCAGGAGCTTGCTGCAATACTTCACTGCCCTCCAGTGTTTTTGATGAGATACTAGATGCCTTTCTGATTTCAGATCCTCCCACCACCACCCTGTGCCCCCTTCCACTTACTCTGAGAAGTTACAGGAATTTCTCTTTATCTATAGGTTTTGAAATTTCATTACTCTGTGCCTTGACATGGGTCTTTTTTCCATTTATTAAGCTGGGAACCTAGTGGGTTCTTTCAATATGGTCACTCCTGTTCCTCAGTTTTGGGGAAATTTCTTGCATTCTTCTCTTTGAAAATTTCCTTGCTCCTATTTTCTCATTGTGACATTCCTATCATTTGGATCTTGACTAAGCCTCTAATTAATATATCCTCCCTTGTCTTTGGTTCTAACTTCTGGAAGGTCTCTTCAGCTTTACCTTCCAATCTCTAAGAGTGCAGAGGGTCGCCAACGGTCCTTTCTATTTGTCGCTTTTTTCACAGATAACTTCTCACAGTTCTTCCTTTCACAAAGAGATAGAAAGGAAATAACTGAAAGATATAAGCCAATAGCATGATAAGACATGAAGTGCAACTGTTGTGCATCCGTTCATGTCTATGATTATCTAACACAGTAGGTCCACTTGCCAAGCACTGGAAATGGTATCATTTCTTCCAGGTGCTCAATGTGACAACAACGCTTTCTTCTGTTGACGACAATGTATATATTTTTAGGGTTTTCTGAAATTTATGTTGCTGGGAATCAATGGCTCTGATCAAACAGTCCTCTAGAATACATATAAACCTTTTTCCAACTCAACAGGTCCATGAGGAACCTCACAATTCTGAAGGAAACATGAAAGGCTGGGAAAGCACTTCAGATGATTTCAGTGAGATAGATACAGAGAACATCTCAATGGTCCCCATGTAGAGAGCCTGCAGGCCAGGAATGACCTGTTGTCTCTTAGCTCTACACCTGCCCTTCTTCGCCCTGTCCTGGCATTGTGGGGCTTGGAGTCTGCAAACCCCACTTTTCCTGGGTTCCCTTGCCAGCTAGCTTCCTGTTGCATTCTGCCAATATCAGGTACTGGAAGGAGTTCAGAAAGCAAGAAGAAGGATAGAAGCTGTCTTTCTTCCTCTTTTTCCCCATCTGCTTCTAGCAGTGTCTCTGTGAGTTTCCTCAGTGACCCCAGTTGCAGCCACACAGCCTCCCTTGTGGCCCCAGCACCAGCAAGGCGGCCCTTCTCTGGTCTGGTGTCATCCCCTCATGGTCCTGCTGTTCTGGTTGGGCAGCGGTCCTGGGAGGGCAGCGGTGAGGATGCTCCTGGGCTCTGGAACACACTTCTAACCGTCCTTCTCCCATGTCTATGTGGTAGCTGCCTCCCACAGGTACTACCTTCTGGATTACTCCACCCTCCCCTTTTTTATTCTCTCAGTCCTTCCCACAGTGTTGCAACAAGTTCTCTGTATTACGTCTCCTCTGTGTGAAACACCTAGTATGGTTACTCTTTTTCTTGATTGGCCCCTGATGGACAGAGCCTCTCTAGGGGATTAAAAAAAGGGTTTTAAGCCTCTGTAAGTCCTCATTACCAGAACGAGCTAAGGGCACAACGCCTCATCCATGGTTATGATCGCAAAAGTACAATCCGACTTTAACTGTTTTGACAAAGTCAGCCATGTCTAGAAGAGGGCGAAGCGACCCTCCGCATACTCCAAGTGAAAGAGGATATCCATCAGTTTCCAAACTAAGTAGCCAAATATGTGAAAGACCGTTCTCCACAGAGCCCGACTGACTCCAAAATGGCTGGCATCCTGCTAAGATGACCAAGGAACAAAACCCAAAACATCTTCTATGAGGAGATGAAACTGGGTTGGGAGAAGGTGGCTCCGGTCTTCAATTTTGCGAGAACGCAGCCACACAGGTGCTAATTCACTAGCTTCGATGCACTTGAAAATGGGTCATGGAAATGGCAAGAAAACGTATACAAAAGATATTTTTACAAAGTAATTTGTAGAGTATATCATAAAGCCATGATACAATAATGTTTTTAAAAATGTACTTCTTGGGGTGCCTGGGTGGCTCAGTCGGTTGAGTGTCCGACTTCGGCTCAGGTCACGATCTCACGGCTCCTGAGTTCGAGTCCCGTATCGGGCTCTGTGCTGACAGTTCGGAGCCTGGAGCCTGCTTCGGATTCTGTGTCTCCCTCTCTCTCTCTGCCCCTCCCCAGCTTTCTCTCTCTCTCTCTCAGAAATAAATGAACATTAAAAAATAATTTAAAAAATGTATTTCTTGGACTATTCCTGTCCTCTGTTCTATTTGGTGGCACACTTCCAGATGGCTCCATACTCTATGGCACAGCGAAGGGAGAAAGTGGCTGGCTGGGACACACAAAACAGAGCAGAGGAGGACAGGGCTTTGCGGAAGCTGGCTGAGAGGGTAGGAGGAGGCTGAGAGGGACGCCTCTGGAGGGTATACTCTTGGGGCGCCTGGGTGGCGCAGTCGGTTAAGCGTCCGACTTCAGCCAGGTCACGATCTCGCGCTCCGTGAGTTCGAGCCCCGCGTCGGGCTCTGGGCTGATGGCTCAGAGCCTGGAGCCTGTTTCCGATTCTGTGTCTCCCTCTCTCTCTGCCCCTCCCCCGTTCATGCTCTGTCTCTCTCTGTCCCCAAAATAAATAAACGTTGGAGGGTATACTCTTGACTGAGGTGATGAATAGAGATGAGCAGTGGGGAGAAAAAGACTGGAAGTCTGAAAACTTCCCTGGAAGAAAACAGGAAAGGAGAAAAAAGAAAGGACTAGAAAGAGATGAGAGAGGACAGTGTAGGGCGCACAGGGAGAGCCCAGCACCCAGAGCCGGAGATGCACTTTTAAGACCGACGGGTTAAGGCTCCACTGATTGTCACAGTCCAGAGCCCATCAAGGTGAGCCCCTTGGGGGATGCTCGGGCTACAGGGCTGTGAGCTCAGAGAGACCTACTTAGAATGACACTGGATCCTTGAACAATGAGGGGTTGGAGGCGCCCTCTGACTCCCCCAAACTTAACTACTAATCGACTGCTGCTGACCAGAAGCCTCACTGACAACATAGTCCATTAACACATGTTCTGTATGTCGTATGCACTCTATACTGTATTCTTACAGTGAAGTAAAGCTACAGGGAGGAAAACGTTATTTAAAAAATCACAAGGAAGTGGGGGGGGTGGTGGCTCAGTTGGTTAAGGGTCCAACTCTTGAATTCGGCTCAGGTCATGATCTCACGGATCATGAGATCGAGCCCTGAGTAGGGCTCTGCGTTGATAGTGTGGAGCCTGCTTGGAATTCTCTTTCTCCTTCTCTCTCTGCCCCTCCCCAGCTCACACACTCTCTCTGTCTCTCAAAATAAATAAATAAACTTAAATAAAATCCTAAGGAAGAGAAAAACACGTTTACTATACTGTACTACATTTATTGAAAAAAAAAAATCTACACGTGAGTGGACCTCCATAGTTCAAATCCATGCTACTCAAGGGTCAAGTGTGTTTATGGCATCCGCCTGGTGGAAATCAGGAACCTGAGCCTGACTTGGAACATTAGCAAGGAGAAGAGATATTATCGCCTGTGGGAGTTACTACCCTCGGAATAAACCCATCCGCCCAGGGAGGAAAGTTTGAATACAGAGCCTTGAATCTGTGGGCAAAAAATTCTCCAAAGGCTTCTCCATACCTTTCGTTGCCTAAAACCAGACAGTGTTGTTGGCATTCGGCAATGCCAGAGACCCCTGATCCGGCTTCTTTGAAACGAGCAGTGTAGATAAACAAGGTTGCGTGATGCTGGGACAGAAAAACCCAGATAGTAAAACTTCTGCGCTCATTCTGAGGATTACTATTGGTATAATCAGTAATCATTTTATCCCTTCCCCCCCCCCCCAAAAAAAAAATATATGCCTTTAAATACCTAAATCTTCTAATTTGCCACAGGCCAGAGAAACTCCTTCTAGATGGCTCTGCTTTCCCTCTACCTTCACATATGAAAATGTATCGCAATTATAGTCTCCACTTAAGCAAAGTGCTTGGAAATATTTATTTAGTACGGAAGGGCTAAAAGGGCTCTTGTTCTGAAAAATTTGCCTGAGGTCTAGAATTTTTGCCACTGGCAATGAAGGTGCTTTGGGGGGAGGGGGAGAATGAAGCAGGAATATTTAAAGTCTAGCACATCTGGGTATTAAATCGCCTGAAGCCAGCACATGCCACCAAAAATACGAGACACGGCGAAGAAATACTCACAGAATGAGGAACACCACAGAAGTAGGTCCAGCTCACATTAAAAAACAGGACGAAGGGACGAGGAGCAGAGTTGAAAAGACAGGCCGAAGAGAGGTGAGTCTGGATCACAATGAGGACAACCGTTGTTTGGCAACACTGGAAGTCTAACTTTGCTAAGGCGTGGTTAGTATGAATTAAACAGACTCAATGTCACAGTTAAGGGGTGCCTGCTGCCTGACCAAAGGGAGGAAGCATGTCCCCTGACTCTTAGGGCCTCCACTGCCTCTAAACAAACCGGAAGTCGGAGCAGCAAGGCGGATCAAAAGCATCCCTGTAGACATGCTAAAAAAGTCATGTTACTGACATTATATCATGTTACTGAAGTTACATGAAAAGTGTAACGCCAGAGGGCTGATAACAAGAATAGAGAAGTCTCTGTAAATCAAACATTCCAGGCGTAAAACTTTCCTTCCAGGTTTCAAAAAACAAACTGCCAATATTTTGGACATAGGAATAGATCAGTGATCAGAAAACTGTGCTTTACTAATATTAACAGGAATGACGGAAGTTAAGATTCAGCAACAACAATGCTTAATTCATCTACGTTTTATTTGTGACATGTTCTCTAGTTTTTGAAGGCATTTTTGTTCCTTTTCCTATTCTGCTTAGGCAAATCTGTATAGATATAATGAAGATTCTGTTACCACATCACATAAAAAATGGTCGTACGGAACGGTATTGTTCATTACTTTATAAAGGTGCCAAGGAATTTCAGAAATTACATGACTTTACCTTTGCCATAACTTCATGAAATCAAATTTTACTCGTTTTTTTAAATTTTTTTTCAACGTTTTTTATTTATTTTTGGGACAGAGAGAGACAGAGCATGAACGGGGGAGGGGCAGAGAGAGAGGGAGACACAGAATTGGAAACAGGCTCCAGGCCCTGAGCCATCAGCCCAGAGCCTGATGCGGGGCTCGAACTCCCGGACCGCGAGATCGTGACCTGGCTGAAGTCGGACGCTTAACCGACTGCGCCACACAGGCGCCCCTCGTTTTTTTAAATAAGAAAAATTTATTGTGGTTAAATACACATACCACGAAGCTCGCCACACGAGCCATCTTTAAGCGTGTGGTTCGGTGGCACTAATTGCATTCATCGTGGTGCGAGGCCACCATATTCATTCACTCTTAAAGGTGACCCTTCTCGGGTTTCTTTTCACTTCTCTGTATATTTACAGGTAAGAAGCTATGCCAGACAAATGCCAATGCAACCATGGAAACTCTTAGATCCATATCTACAAGAAACTTTAA